AGCTTCTACCTCCTTAAAGTCTCCAATACATTACTCAAATGCTGCTCATGCTGATCCTTGGTCTTAGATTATACAAGAATAATTAATAAAAACAATGGACCGATCCAATATCGGTCTGCACACCCGCTTCATGAGATCCATGAATGTTGCTGGAGCATTAGTGAGCCCGAAAGGCATCACCATGAACTCATAATGACCATATCAAGTTCTGAAAGCCGTCTTCTAAATATCCTCATTTGATGATATCCTAACCGAAGGCCGATCTTGGAAAACTAAGAGGCATCCTGCAGCTGATCAAATAAATTATCGATCCTCGGAAGCGGATAACGGTTCTTCACCTTTGGCTTGTTCAACTCCCAATAATCAATACACATCCTTTGTGACGTGTCCTTCTTCTTCACAAACAAAATTGATGCCTCCTATGGGGAACTACTTGGACGAATAAAACCCTTGTCTAGCAGCTCTTGCAGCTGCGTAGACAACTCCTGTATCTCAGGCGGAGCTAGGCGATACAACACCTTGGGTATCAGAGCCACACCATGCATCAAATTAACATGAAACTTGACTTGTCTCTCGGGAGGCACTCCAGGAAACTCCTCTTAAAAAACATCGGGAAAATCCTGCACAATCGGTACCCTACTCAACTCTGATGTGGTCTCCACCCTGGAATTCGAAATATAAGCCAGATACCCATAACAACCCTGATGAAGAAGTCTCCTACCCCTCACAGCTGAACAGATAGTTGGCCTATGTGAAGCCCTCTCACCATGAATGACTATTTCTCCCCCACTTAGGGTTCGAACTCTTACCAGTTGTCGCTGACAATCAATTACAACCTCATTGGGCCCCAACCAATCCATCTCGATGATCGCCTTCAATCTCCTCAAGGGAATCGACACCTAGTCGATATGAAACCTCTCTCCAAACATGTTTATAATACTCTATGTAATACACTCATAACGCTCACAGAACAATCATCAGTGATCTCCACCTCCATAGGGGACTATAAAGTCCCCAGAGCATCTCGAAACTTCATGCTGAGCGCAAGGGATACAAAAGATCGGATAGCCCTTTAATCGAAGATAACATGAGCTAACAAACCATTAACCAAAAAGGTCCCTATACAAGATCATAACAATGTAAGCATGATAATAAAACAATAAGGATAGATATACAAAACATACTAGTCACAACAATCGGTGCTGCTCGGGCCTCTTCTGTGGTCAGTTGAAATGCTCTGCTCTTCATTGCAGGAGTCTCTGCCTTGACCTGGCGGCCATCTGTAATCCTGAATGTGGCAGGTGCAGGCAGCGTCACTGCTCCTCCAGACAACCTCGGACAATCGACCTTTCTATGACCTGTCTAGTTGTAGTGAAAACAAATCAAGGCCCTCTTAGGGCAGTCCTTGCTCATATGGCATGTCTGACCACACCCAAAACATCCTTGTCCCACTGATCTATAAGGTCCACCGTTCGACTTGCCGCACTTGGCACTTCAGTCCTGGCCCTGCTGGCCTTTGCCGTGAACATCGGTGGTCTTAGGCTTCTTGGCATGACCCACTACTGTCGAAACTTGCTTCGGCTTTCGCTTCGTGCGGAGCTCTAACTAAATTTCCCACTCACGAGCCTTCTCAATAATTTCATTTAGGGTTTTGCACCTGAGAAACTCACAAACTCACGGATATCATCCATCAGCGCGACGTGATATATCGTCTTCCTCATCTTCTCATCTGCTGCATATTGCAGGACCAAATGCGCTCTCTCCCTGAACTTGGCGGTGATCTCCACCACCGTCTGTATAGTCAGGTAAAGGTCTTAGAACTCCCTCACCAACTGTTGCACCTTAATGGATGGTGCAAAATCCCGAGCAAATCTTCGAACAAACTCCTCCCATGCCATCTCAGTCACACCCGTCGTCCCCACTTTGCGGGTGACCTCCTCTCACCAGTCCCGTGTTCGGTCCCTCAACATACAGGATGTGAATCCAACCTTTTCCGCATCGGGAGAAAATCTCGTACATGGAGCATTCTCAATGTTAGTAATCCAGAGACGACTAGCGATGATGTCCTTAACCCCAAAGAACTCGGGCGTCCTTAACCCTAAAGAACTCGGGCGCACCGCACGCCTTGAACTCCCGGAATGAGGGGGCTCGAGTCCCAACTTCACCCGCAATGATCTCAACTCGAAAAGATCTGAGCCTCTCCTCCATAATCTCCATGATCCCCTCCTTACGGTGCCGAAAATCACCGGGGTAGCATCACGGATGCCGCGAGTAACCTCAGTTACGATAAGCTCGCACAACCTCTCATCAATAGGCTCCGCACCAGAACCTGAACCCAATCCTAAACCCGATCCAGAACCTGAACCCTCAACTGAAAATACAACATAGAAAACAATTGATAAGGAAGTTGGAAAGGATACCTCCCCACCGGAGTCCTTAGAGTTCCAAGTCTGTCCTTGCCTCAGGTACAGGTCCTGCGCTTTCAGTAGTACGGACCCAATACTACATTCCACACCTACATGTACCGTCCTCAAGGCCATACCAGATACCTCTAAGTCACCCAACCATAATACACTTGACCTACAATATGCAACACATACGCATAAGGTAGACTCTTCTAGGATTTTACAATTATTAAAGAACCAGAAACCTCAATCAACACCGCAGGTTGCCCTATGCATACAAGTTATACCTAGATAGAATCAAATAGACTATCAAATAAAGCTCCTACCCTAAGACCACAACAAAACAAGAAACAGGAAATAAGGTAGAATCCATCATTCTAGGGCTATGCAATCCTAAGCATATACAACTTTGAAAACATACACTTAGCAAATAATAGTGTCAATATCAATCCCAAGGAATATAGATATATATATATATATATATATATATATATATATATATATATGTGTGTGTGTGTGTGTGTGTATACATACATACATACATACATATATTTGTAGCATGGTTAATACAATTGGAAAAACTTACTTGAGCTCGACCAATTTCACGCATTACCCTCTCCTTTTCAATTAAGACAACCATTTTCAGAAAAGCTTAATTTTTGGTTTCTTCTAAAAAAAGTTTCACCATTTCCCTAGTTTGAATTCTGACACACCCGAAAGTGTGTTTTACAAACATAAGTCTGATACCAAAAATCCAATACATAATCATCATCACATAAAATCATCAGAGTTAAATAACAGCGAATGCGGAAAATAGAGGAGAGTGCACGTTGTGCTATCAAGCTGGGCCCTTCCCTTTAGAATCGGAAGTACCTGAAACCACAACACAAACTATAAACTAATGCTTAGTGAGTTTCCCAAAATAACACATACCAAATTACAATGGGCCCAACCCTAGGGTTCCTTACCAACCCATCACAATTATGGACCCCTGCCCTGGAGTACATTTCAATCAAACATATCAAAATAGGCCCCGCCCTGGGGTATATTTCAACCCAACATACCGTATTGGGCCCCTCCCTGGGTGTATTTCAACCCATTCACAATATGTACCATTCAATAATTAACATATCACATAAATTGACAATGGGCCAGCCTTGATTCCTTAGATCCATGGTTATAGTGAAAAGACTCACCTCAACTGCTGGAATCCCTAGTAAATGCTCGAGCTGCGGTATAGAAGAATCCTCACGCTATCTAACAAATAACCCAAGTCCAAATTGGGTCTTAGTCCATAATTATGGACCCAAGCTCCGAGTCCAAACTACTATGTTATAAGTCCATAAGCCATTCTCATATTGGGCCTAACCATTCGTAGCCCAAAAAAAGATTGGCCCTAAGGCCCAAAAGGCCCAATTAATCCATTTAAGGTTCAAAACAGAATCCTAAGACTCATGCACTTAGACTAGGTCAAAGCCCAAACCCATATAAGGCGTAAAGACTAAAGTCCAAAACTACAAGCTTTCTGGGCCGTACGCCCAGCATACGTACTGGTACGCACGTCTTACCTCGACCGAAAGTAGTACGTATGGCGTACACGCCAACCATGCAACAATTCTTGCAATGACTTAATGCCTTAAGATTTTACGCCCAAAACCCATATCTGAACCCATTAGGGCCTCTAGGGCTAGAAAGTTGCCAACTTTAAGCCCTTGCATGGCTACAAGAAGCCCAAAGACAAAAATCAAGCCTCTTATGTCCTTTCATGCATCTATCTTTGGAATGGGGACTAAACAACCTCAAAGGTTTCACCTTTACGAATTGAGATGACTAAACATGCATGGAAATGCAACTTGAAAGCTTGGGAGTAGCTGATACTCACTAAGATATAAACTTTTGGGTAAAAAGGGAGAAATCTGGCCCTAATTAAGAACGTGGGGGAAACATGAGCGAAGATTTGATCTTTATAACTCAAAGTGGTGCCAAATGAGTAGAAAATGCTAGATCCGGAATCTTGGAGACAAAGCTTTCTTCTTGAACCACCTTCTTCACTGCCAAGGAAGCTCAAAATCTCTCCAGAAAGCTCTAAAGATTCAAAAATGGCTAGGATTAGCTAGGAGGTCCGAAATGACAATGGGGGCTGAGGTAAGGGAAAGTCTTGGGGTCATAATGGGGTTTAAATAGTACACAAGCCCTAATCACTAGGGTTTTGTTCTAAGCCACGTAAGCCCAATCTACGAAGATGTACCTGTAGCGTACACACATGGAGACCACTACGCTTAATGTAATAAGGGCTACGCCCCGTCTACCCGAAAAGTCAGGATTCTACTCTTGAGGACCAAAATGACATAAAATCAAATTCCAATGCCTAGAAGCCAACCTGAAAAATCTTAGACGTTACATCGGTGGGAATAAGAGCCCATGCAAAACCCATAAGTGGAGTCCATGGGGTTGTATTGTGAGCTTGCAGCTGTTGATTCTACTGTTTAGGAAATCAGTTGTTTTGTTTCGATAACCACCACCACTGTCACACCCATAACCGCGATGTGAGTACCCGCCTATGTTACTGTTGGAAACACCACGATATGCAACAATTTAGAGAAGGGTCGGAAAGGAGGTATTGCTAGAGTGATGAGGCTTAATAGGTCGATGGTGGTTGATGCGTTGTTCTTCAACCTCAAGTATGGAACGAACACCTGGAAAATATGGTGTTGTTGAGATGTGATGACTCAAAGTACCAATGGAGCCATACTTAAAAGACAATCCATTAATCATGTAGATCATAAGAGCTTTCTCCAAGATAGAAGCTTCAAGGTTCACCAATGAATCTGCAAGGGTTTTAATACGTGTAAAATAAGCAACAACAGATTAATCACCCATTGAGATATCGCGGATTTTATTATTAAGCTAGAATGCCTTCGACTACTTGTTAGATCGAAACAATTGTTCGAGGTTGTTCCAAAATACACGAGTAAAAGTGTTTTGCTTGAGAACGGTGTTGAGAAGTGTTTGGGACAACGTACCATGGATCCAAGATTTAACCACGTGGTTAATGCATGACCATTCGACATCAGTGAGGGTCGTTGGAGTCTTAACATAAGATGTTAATTGTGCATCGGCACCATAACCTACACAACAGATAAAGAGTAATTCCTGCTAGGAATCATAGTTATGTCGTTCCAAGTCTAGGATCAGTGGAACTGTGGTGCGGATGTTGGTGATACTAGATGTTTTATGAGTGACCATGAGAAATAGAGGGCAAAGAACGAGAGATATGGTTGCATCGTTGTGAAGGAGAAGAAAAAGGTAGGGTATTGCGTAAGGTTTAGAGAAAGAAGAGGCCCGATACCATGTAATTGGGTATAATTCCCATGAAGAGATCTCTCATTAAACAACCAAATAAATACAATACGTATTCAAGGAAATCCCAATACATGGCCTTGAGTCGATCCAACCTATGGGCTAACAACTAAATACATAAACATATAAACATATAGATACATATGCATTACCATATACAAAACATCAGCAACTAAGTGACGAATGCTTTCCGCCTTGCCATTAAAACACAAGACATTTCTATAAGAACAAATAACCCATAGAAAAGCTCTGATAACCGACTAAAACTTGGCCACCTAGAATGGGGAGAAGTTGGGATTCTCCGAACCAATAATAAGATTTTCAATGGAGTTGACACTCGCCAAAGGTTAGTAGATAACTACATATGCATTTGTCATCTATTTATTGTGTTTGCATTAAAAAGATTATTATGCTTAAAACGAAAACCTAGGTACAAAAGCAAACCATATTAGTAAATTATATATATATATATATATATATATATATATATATATATATATATATATATATATATATATATATATATATATATATATATATATATATATATATATGAGTAAATGCATATATTACATATATAATTAATATGCATTAGGAACACCACATGACACATGACTCTAATTAATCCGTTCAAAATAAAGACAGTAGCCAAACTATATGATCGCTTAATAAATTTGAAAAGTTAATCAGACAAGCTCAATATACCCTTTGCTTCATTTTCTGGTAATATGATATACATGATTCTTTCAAATTCTACTATTGTCAGCTAAGCCTTTTGTTGCAAATTTATTTTTTTAAGGGAGTTGGCAAAATCAGGAGTTCTTGCCATTACACATGCATGACAATCTGTCGAGGACAATGAGAGCCAAAAGAAAATTTGGTATGACTGTATGAGATACTATCAGGTACCAAGATAACATTTTTAAGAGACATGTAGACTGATTAAATACCCAAAGGCTAAGATTAATGTTCAAATTGATGATTTTCAGCAAATCTTTTATGTTGACCACCATAACACCCTTTGAAATAAAATTTTCTTGTCATAATTGTCAGACTGATCAAATTTCTCATTATTAGATACTTAATTATATAGTTATATGATCACTGCACCATGCAAGTTGACAAAACTAATTAATACATGATGGAGAAGAAAATTAATTACCAGTAAATTGAGCAAAAGTATATTGGTAGAAGTCATACGTCACGAACCAATCCTATTCTAATTGATGGTTTTTTTCCCAGTATGATAAGTTTGACTTTAGTCAGGTATATATAAATGTTTTTTTCCCAGTAAGGACCTGGCTAGTAGACATCAAAAGGGTAGCTTTCCACTGGTTTATTTATTGGTTTGGATTGGTGTATTAATCCTAAAACTTGTCTGCTTGAACGTTTTGTACTTAATTCCTAGCTTCTTGCTGTTAAAAAAAGTACATCTATATATAATTTTCTTTAGATGATATTACTCTTATATATTGATTGAGGTCAATTCACCCTTTTGGGACATAAGTAATGATGTATTGTGCTTGATGATGATCACATCACTCAACATATCATGTGCAATGGTCTATTTCTGCTGGTACATTTGCATGTGTATCTGATATATACACTTTTTAACATTTGTTGTACCAATTTTTTTTTTCTACTTATAAATCATTAAAATTCTAATGTCTTAGAAGTAACAAACAACAAAGAAAATTATGACCGGAAATAGTTACCATACATTTCAATATAGAGTACTAAAGCACTACTTATAAAATTGAGACAGGTCTACAATTGATGATGTTTAAAATATATATGGAAAAAAAAAAACGACATGCGAATACAAGACGACTTAAATACAATCCATTTTGTATTATATTCCACACACAAACACAATAAATTAACTATACTGATACATGGTTGATCTGTTTTGACAAATATTGGTCGATAGATTTGGACTAAAGAATCCCAAATGAGTTAAATCAAACACAAAACTAAGAAACCCAGATGAAGGATCGTTGGGTGAGCATTGTGATCTTGCTATTCCAGGGGAATTTGCTTACTTGCCTTGGTTTTGAGTTTGGAAATGGTGGAAATTGTTGGTGGTTGAGATAAAAAATGAGCTAGGGTTTTGTTCATAATTAATATGATCACCTGTCAAAGAATCAGTTCTTGACACAATTGCTTGGTTGTAGGACTCTATAATGTTGTCAGCATCGTATTCTCCAGGAACTCCTGTGAATCCGAAGCTGGAATTTAACCAACCTGCAGGAGGGTTGTAGTTCATCAATGTGTTACAATAAGCAGGTGCGCTCACAATGCTCCCTGAATAACTTTTTAATATATCAACATTAATATTGGCCAATTGGAGTTCTCGAAGCAAGTGATTCGTACTGGAAAAATCGGAGGGATTCAATGAGTGTTGTTGGATGGGTTCAGATGCAGTAGACGTGTACCCTAGTTTATCTATATTTTGATTATCAGAGCTTACCATGTACCCTAACCCTAATTTGTGAATTTCGTCATTAGGGTTTCGTTCAAACAAAAACTTTGATTTCTCAAGTTCCTTGATCATCAGTCTCTCTCTTGTTCTCTGCCTTGCTCTTGCTCTCGCTTGATCCCTCGTATCCTTAGAAGAAGTATTATTTTGAATTCGCTTCCTTTCCTTGTTCTTGATCTCCATCTCTTGATAGTTCTTCGGTTTGTTGGTAGCAACTTTGATCTCGTTGCTGAAACCCATTTCACACTCACGCCAATCGATTCTGTCGATAACTTCAGTCATGCTTTGGTTGGAATGTTTTGAATCAAAGTTGTCAGCGACTTCTTTGATAGCTTTATTGGACTTGCAAAAAAGCCATTCAATGGTCTTACTGGCTTTGTCAAATCCTAACAAGTCTTGGAGATCAAAGAACTTTCGGGCAATATGAAGTGACAACCTCATTCTCCTGTCTCTAAGACCTTGCGCTGTATGTATCTTGCTGTGTCTATCTTTCTTACCAACATTTCTTTTCTTTAGACGTTTCGATTCAGAAGGCGTAGGTTCAGTGATTTTGAAGCATTTGTTTGGGGAGCTGCGTTGGTGTTGGTGGGTATGGTTGTTTGCGAGTATTGGAATAGTATCGATATCATCAAAGAAAGGTGAAGGGAATTCCAAAAACAAAGGAGGCTCTTCTTGATGACATGAATTAGGAATCTCATGACCATCAACCTTATTTGGATCAAACATAAGATACTCATGTTTTCTAGAAGAACCCACATGCTCCATATCCCTGCCGGGAGTTGGGGAGGCTACTAGTGTATGCTATATTTAGCAATGACTAGATGTGAATCAGTTATGTTTTTGGATGAAGAACTTCAAGAATAGTAGACATGTTAAGTGATAGTGATGCTGTAATCGCACAAGGGTGGTGGAAGAGATGGGATGGTAGTGGTCGTGATGAAGGTGAAGAAGAAAAAGTTGGACAGAAAGGTTGTGAAGAAGCACTCGATGCTTTTGTACAGATGCATTGTTTTATCACTTGGACCATATGTGAGTGATGAGAGAGAAAAGAAGAAAAATGGTAGCACTTCACGTGGTACGTAGCAGAGTAGCTACATTTGGGTTTCCTGACCTAGAGAGAGATAGAGAATGAGATAGAGACGAGGGATTAGTATCCTTCTCCTCTCTTTCAAGACATTCAACATTTATTTCAAAGTTATTCGGGTTCTATATTCATTTCAAAATATCTACTTTTTCCACAATATTTTTAAAATTTGCATTGGATTGGATGTTGACCGTATTCATTTATGAATTAAAAAGGTTATAATTCAAAATTCAATATAAAAATATATAAATGAGCTAAAGATATAGCTTATACCTATATACTTTAATAAATAATATAAGCGGTTCTTTTTACCTTTTTATATAGTTTAAGCGGTTTTCATTCATGTCCTTTCTGGTTGGCATTTAAAGTGATATCTTGGCAATTCCATGTTATATTTTGCAAGTTCCTTAGCAATGCCAATTGAGGAAACATCATGCTTTTATCGCATTATATTATAACATAAGTTATATGTTATAACGACTTTCTTAAATGAGTAAGGAACTACCGACAAAATGAAGGGATTATAAGATGAAGAAGCCATACAGATCTAAATAAGGAGTACAAAATATCATGATAGAATTAAGCTTCATTAAGAGGTATTCTAGCTACGACTTCATTCCTAAGTTAAATGATCAAGACAGGCGACTTTCACAACAACGTTCATAAATATGCCAAAATCTAAAAGCGACACACTTCGATATATACCAATCACTTGCAAACTTTATCCCAAAGCAAACTCAAATATTAGTACAAAAATGACATATATTTACATTTTGGTTGAAACAACTGTGCCACACGTCGATTATTTCATTGGCTAAACGTTGCTAATATAGTTTTAACCTAGTTTAAGCGACACTTTTTATCGATTTACATGAGCATTTCAAAACTTTTAGCCACGATTTAATTAAGATAAAAAAAAAATGACATTTACTGGCCAAGGTCGAAAGGTATGACCAAATGTGACCAACTACCATGATATTTGTTTGATTTTGGAAATACATTTATGATTGTTTTTATATAAGATGATAGATACATATATGATCTCTTTGGAATAATTATTTATTTGTCTAAATCATAGAATTAAATTGGTCACATGAATATGATATGGTTAAAAACAAATACATTTGGTTACACAAATTATTTTATGTGTTCAAAGGACATTGTTTATTAATCATTTAGTAAATAAAACAAAACTAAAAACTATAAATCTTTTATTGTGACGTTTTAAGTTTTTATGTTCATCTAAAAATAACAATGATCTTGCTAAAACAAAAAACATATGATTATTAATAATTTATGATCATAATTTAATTGTTTATATGTATCAAAAAGTAAATAGTATTAATGAAAAAAGAAAATCATGTGATTATAAGTAATTTTTAATCATGGTTTAAGAATAAGATGTGATATCAATTCATGTTTAATCTAGATTGGTAATTTAAGTATTAATATGTCCAATATCTTAAAATTGCAAAATATATTTTACTTAAAATATGATCTTTAAGTAAAACTTCATCTAGTTAATCAAATCTAAACAGGTTCTTAAACTAAATTCCTAAAAGACTTTAAGCTTCATGTAATTATTACCAATAATGTTCAATACTCTTGGTAAATGTAAAAGTATTTACTCTTTAACTACACTTATTTTGATTCATTTGAAACCAATTAAAATTTTGTCACTAATTCCAAATCAAAAAAAGTTTACGAATTTCATAATTTGATTAATAAGAATGATTTGAATCATAATTTCATTGATCAAGTGAAAAGAGTGTAAATCAAAATATTACAAAGATCAAATCAAGGACTAACACATAAACATAGATTAATATCACACAAAAATCCAAACAAGTATTTTAGAATTCAGGAATCAGAAATGAAAGGAAATTTAGTATCACATGAATAACTTCGAACACGAGTGTACGAAGTACAAATGTTAAAAAAAACATATAATTTCAAAGATTAAATGTTTCCAGAGTGAAAATTAATGATAATGTTTTTAAAAAATCACCCCTATCTTGTCTCTGTTTGAAGTTTCTTCTAAAATGATAAATATTCTTTCTTTTAATGGAAGGTAGGAAACTATAAAACTGTCAAAATCTCATTCCATGCTTTGGAATAATTGGCCTTGTGAAAACAAGAGCATGGAATGAGCAAAGTATGTTGCTATGATTAGTTTTCATTCCATAATGCATTGCCAAAATTTGAGAGTTTCTGGAAAATGCCTATAGATTGATTTTGCCTTAAGAAAACACGGGCACTAAATTAACTCTTGGGTTGCTAACCTCTTCATTACACGAATGTGGAATGACATGTGTAACCATTCCACCCCTATGTTTTATTCTGAGAACACCCCATCTTCTAAAATCTCAATTTCTTCAATCTTGCTCCTAAAATCCCGAAACTTTGTAGAGAGTCTCCTTTAAGCATCATAATAATGTTACAACTTTCAAATGGTATTGAAACATCCACAAAAAACATGAGAAGTACATGGATCCTTGATATTGTGCCAAAAATATAAAATGCATGTAAAATTACACCAAAAGGATATGTAATTTTTGAAATAAACATGAAATAAGTATGCAAAAGGTGCATTTTATACATCTAAAAAATCTCTCCAGGCTTGAACCTTTTCATGTCATCAAGAAAAAAAATTCAAATGAATTTGAGAGAGAATAGAAATAAAGGAAAAAATAATTATGCAAACACAAATTAAAAGAAAGAATGCCTTAAGTTATTCAACACGACAACATAATTATGATTAGAAAGTTGTCAACATATATCTCATGTGCACAACAATAACACTGCATTCCAAAACAAGGTAAAATAACACATAAGGCAAAAATATTCATCAAGCATGAAGTACAGAGCACATAGATTTATGTTACCATGACACCTACTATTAACTCTTAAGGATAAAACGGATGTATCTCAATCTATAGGGTAGGCTCACTGAAGAACTCATCCACTCATGTGTGAACTCATTTCACAAGATGTATGAACTCCCTCCTATAAATATCTACACTCATTTATTTAAGGTGGATAACACTTTGGCTTCGGTAAAGGTATACCCATTTTTCTATGTTCTTCTCTCCATACTCTTCAACAACTGCAATTGATCAATCTTCATTTCATCTTTCGAGCCTTGAGTCAACTTCCAACATTCCATAATGGGAGAAAGTATAATAAACCACGACGAGTGTTAAGCCATCGCAAGAGCCTAAAAAATAATAAATATGTATAGAAAATAATACTCAATTGCACTAAGAAGTAGTAAATAAAAACATGGTCAAATCCACAAGGACACATCCTAACGTCTATGCCTTCTTGCGTAAGGCATGCACTAGTCTGACAGTAAATTAAATAGAGGTGTTTTGATGATTAAAATAATTATTATACTAGAAATTAAAAAAAGTAACTAATAACTTTGAAACTTCAAATGATTAAAAGCAATTTCAATTATACGGTGATTCTCCTATTCGTGCAAATAACTCTCAACTTAATTGTTTGAACTGTGCATTTTCTAAACTGGTATTGAAAATCATTAACAAACTCTAATAATATTCTTTTACCAAATTATTTAATTAAAACATGCTTTTTGAATTAAACGTTAATTTTTATTAATAATCAAACAAGCTCTTAATTAATCTAGAGAAGCAACATTAATAACAGTGTAAAATTCCCAGTAAATTTCAATACATCGCATAGGCTCGGAAGCGTAGTTACTTATTACCTATTATTTAAGACAATTATAGATCATAACAATCAGTAAACTATAATGATCTAATATCAATTCAAGTGGAAAACAAAAACTGAATTAAAATCAAACATTCATATAAACATAAAATTGATCAAACTAGACATGATCACAATAAAAAATCAAGTCTAATGATTACTTGCATGAAAAGTTGAGTCGATGTGAAACTGAAATGTAGGATTTTTAGCCTGACATTGAGAAAATCTAATTACAAATGATAAAAATAAGTACTAGGTGATTAACTTTTACTAAATAGAAATACAAAACTAAATCGTTTTCTTCGGATCTTCGTTCTTCACTCAAAATCTTTAGAAATTCGCCATAGAGCCATATGAAACCAAGTTAGGGAGACCAAAAGGTTATCAGGTGCTTTTTATATGTAGAAAAATCTATTGGCCAATTCCACGATCATGTTCTTGTAAAACACGATCGTATTTTTCTTCAATACACATCTAAAACCAGTTTAATGAAGTACGTTGTTATTTTTAGGTCATCTTCTGACTTCAAAGGAGACACATGATGATGTAAATGGGAAATAACGATTGTTTTTTTCTATAAAACTTTAGAAGCATATTCACATCCAAAAAAACCTCGAAGCATCAACATGATCTTATTTTTTGAGGAAGCATAATTGTGTTTTATCTTTTTTTGCATATTGATTGAAATTCTTCAATTAAAACCGCTTCTAATCATTCATCATCATCAATCTTCAGTTTCCAACTCCAATTAAGGTCCGATGCTTCATATAACGTATCCTCAAAGTGACGTATTCTCATCCCACTCTAATTTTCGTTGAAAATCATAACAAAAGTGAGTAGTATGGGACATTCTGTGAACATAATGAGAAATACACAAGTTAGAGCAATATAAGGAAGAAAGTTGGCTTTTTATAAGAAAATACTGATTAAAATATGTCGAAAGATGCAT